CCACCTGAAAACTTCCAGGAAGTTCACCTCAGGAGAGTTCTAGCCTCTGTCATCATGCATAAGGTCCTCAGATCACAGTAAAACAGAACCTTTTCACTGCCTGATGGTGCCAAGCCAGGGTGGGGAAAACTTCGAGAAGAGAGGTTGTCATGGGTTGGTGATTTGTCCTACAATATAACCCAGACATTCAAATCAACACAGGCTTCTACTTGAGGATTAATGGGATGTGGGAGATTTAAAGTTTATCTAAAATGAAAGTATAGCTCATAGCTCTTTAGGCTATTTCTGCCCAGAAATGGCACATACTATACTTCTGACATCAAGAAGAATATGTGGGTATATGTCTGCTCAGGATTCAGAGTCGGGGACATGAACATGGACTTTGGGGAGATTTAAAGTTTATCTAAAATGAAAGTATAGCTCTAGGTCAGCAAGAACTGGGTCCTGTCCTTTGCTAGCTGTGTGACCCTAGGAAAATTATTTAATTTCTCCAGGACTCGGTTTTCTCATGAATAAAAGAGATACATGAGGATAACAGTACATACTTCACAAGGTTGTGTACAGTAAGGATAAGGTTGGTCTGTGAATGATGGAAAAAAAGGACATCAGTTACTGTAACAAGGAGATTTATTTCTCTTTCTTAAAAGCCTGGGTAAATGGTTTAGGGCTGATAAGATGAATGCATGCTCCCTAGGAATAAGCTTCTTCTATTCTTTTGCTCTGTCATCCTCAACTTGTGGCCTCCACTTCACGAACCAAGATAGCTGCTCAAGCTCCAGCCATTACATTTTCATTCCAGCCGGCAGGAAAGAGAAGAGAGGAGGCGAAGAAGGCCCTACCTCTCCCCTTCAGCCACTTCCACCTACAAGTCATGAGCTTGAACTTAAGCTCATGCGCACAGTCAGCTGCGATGGAGGCTGGGAAATGTCATTTTTATTCCAGTCACGTGCTTAGTTAAATATCAGAGCTTCTTTACTATCAAAGAGGGGGGAAATGGGGATTGGCGCAAACAATCTGCCACAGTTCTTTTGAGATTTAAATGAGATGATGCAGGTGGAGGGCTGAGCACAGTGTTGGCTTCAGAGTAGGCATTCAACGATCATTGTCATCATCATCATCATCTTCACCGTGAGAAGGTGGGGAATACTCTGAAACTAGGACAAGATATTTCCTTATTTGAACTTCATCTTGCTGCTAAAGTCACCCTTATCCAGCTCTCTTTTAAGACACTGTGACTTTCATCTCTCATGAACGTCAGACACCTATGCCTTTAATGTGCCCTTATGAAACAAAACTATATAAAAGGAAAGCAAGGGGCCCGGCCAGCATGGCTCAGTGGTTGAGTTTTGACCTATGAACCAAGAGGTCACGGTTCAATTTCTGGTCAGGGCATATGCCCTGGGTTGTGAGCTCGATCCCCAGTGGGGGGCATGCAGGAGGCAGCCAATCGATGATTCTCTCTCATTATTGATGTTTTTTATCTCCTTCTCTTTAAAATCAATAAAATTATATTTTAAAAAAGAAAATAAAATGCAGAAATGCAAGCTTTAACAAAATAAAAGGAAAGCAAGGGAATGGTGACTTTAATTTTAGGTAGTGGATTTGCAGATGATTATTGCATTATTAACAATAACTAATAAATAAAAGCAGAGATACATGGGCCAATGATCCAATGATGAGAGTGTGTCATGAATCAAGGATTATAATGAACCCAATACTATGTACTTGAGGTCTTTAAATTGTCTTTATGTGTACAATTTTGCATGACGTATGTGTTTGCATGCAAATAATAGACAAAAATAGCATTTTCTATTTTCATAGCCAATGATGAGAGTGTGTCATGAATCAAGGATTATAATTCACCCAATCCTATGTACTTGAGGTCTTTAAATTGTCTTTATATGTGTACAATTTTGCATGACATATGTGTTTGCATGCAAATAACAGACAAAAATAGCATTTTCTATTTTCATAGACTTTTAACTTTTCAAGGGCTTCTGCACATATCCAGAAAAACTGTCCAAGTAGCTCATTACAGATGGTTGAGTTTGATGTTCCGGGACTTTGGACTTCTGTGTCCTGAGGGAAAATATTTCATTTAATCCTTCCGGTAGCTCTGCGAGGTAGGCAGGACAAATGTTATTATCACTGTTTTGCAGATGACAAAGAGGGAACTGAGAGGGCAAGGGGCTTTCGTAAGGTTTCATAGCTAATTAGTCCTGGAATGGAACTTAAGACTCTGCATCTCTTGCCTAGTGCTTCTTTCTTTCGTCCACCTCACTCCCCAGTTATTCATCCATTACACACTTATTCCGTGTCTGTCACATGTCAGTAACATTGCGCTTATGTATTTGTGTTTGTACATGTGTGTATTTTCTGGGCCTGACGTGCAGTTTATGTCATCTCTATACAAGCCCTTAGAGCCCTTGTATGCCCCAGGCCTGACCAGCCCATGTAACTCCAGGAGAAATCCCCAGCTGGGGTTTCAGCTATCTTGTTATTCCTAAGTCACTGGGCTTCGGCACATTTCCTAGAGCCGCTGCGAGGTAGGCCAGGCAGCTTTGGTATCAGGGACAGATCCCCAGGCAGTGGGCTCAGAACGGAAGAGCAAGCCAGCAATGCCTCAGTAATGATAATGACTGTTTCATGATACTTTATAGTTTATGAAGGGGTCTTATAAACACCATCTCGTTTCATTCTCACTCAGCCCTAAAATGATTAAACACCATCTCGTTTCATTCTCACTCAGCCCTAAAATACATTTTATTATTTCTCTCTCTCTCTCTCTCTCTCTCTTTTTTAGGTGCAAAGAGAGGATAAATGACTCGCTCACGGTTACTCAATTTGAGGACAGACTTGAATTCAGGTCATTTGTCTCTAAATTCTGTTCTCTTTCCATGGTGCCCGGCCGCCTCTGTAAAAGCAAAAAGAGCTTATTGTCTTTCTAGCCCTGTGAAGAGGAGCAGGTGACAGCTCAGTGGCCAGCAGCAGGAAGCCCCCAGTGACCCTCCGCAGAGGGAAAAAGACCAACTCAGAGCCCCGAGCGGCCTCCTATCAGCTGAGAAAGACAACGGAGCAGTTGGAGGTTTCCACCCTCCCCCATCCCTGCGTCCTCCCTTATCTCAGTCCGTGGGCATCTCCCAAGTGTCCTTGGGGAGGTGACAGCAATACACAGAAGCAGGCAAAGGTGTCTTCCAATCTCTATGGCCTCTGGCAGTCTCTGTGTCTTTCAAGAGTCAGGGGTTTGGGGAACTGTCTAACCGCATCCATCCTCTTGCACAGGAGGAAGCTCCGGTTCCTGCTGCCAGAGGCGAACCCCTCGGCCTGGTCTCCCAGACCTGTGTCTGTGCCCCTCTCCCGATGCTGTCCACTTCTCCCTGTCTGTCTTCTTCCCCGCAGATTAACGCCCCCCCCCACCAGGCTGAGCGTGGCACCTTGTCCTCCGTCAATGTGTGCACCACATGAACTCTGCCTGAAAAGGACAAATATCTGTGTCAGGGGAGCTGTTTCTCTCCTTGACCCACGGAGGGAGTCCTGTTCAGTCCACCCTTCACTACTTCCTGCCTTGCCTCAGCCCCGAAGGGCCCCTATTTTCCGGATGTCCCCTTTTCTCTTTCTTCCTAAGCAGGGTCTCCCTGGACAAGGGGGCTCGATAGTGTTGGGGGTGGGGGGGATGTTAAAGGCCAAGTGTGGTCCTAGGTCATGCCCTGTTCTCTAATTTGGCCTTATCAGTAATTAATATCAGGTTTGGTCGCCACCTGTCTGGTTCCTTTGTCTTATTTCTCAACTGTTATGCCGGTCAGAGGAGGGAGTAGGTCAGTAGGGATGTATTTAATGAGCATCTGCAAACCCCACCAGAAATGTGTACAGAGGCCTTCTGAAAGAAAAATCAACCAAAAAAATGAGTTCGCGTGTCACCTCTGACATGCGTGTCATAGGTTCGCCATCACTGTCCTAGGTCATGCCCCGTTCTTTAATTTGGACTTATCAGTAATTAATATCAGGTTTGGTTGCCACCTGTCTGGTTCCTTTGTCTTATTCTCAACTGTTATACTGGTCAGAGGAGGGAGTAGGTCAATAGGGATGTATTTAATGAGCATCTGCAAACCCCACCAGAAATGTGTACAGAGGCCTTCTGGCCGCTTATATTTATGGCCTCCCCAGTCCCTTCCCACACACTATAGGCCCAGCTAGATCCTCATTCTCTTCCCCAGAGATATAGGGCTAACCTGGACTGGAACACCCCTTCTTCAAAAACACCCTCTTCTCCTCAGGGCTGTAGGTTCAGGGTCTAACTTTTCCACATTGGACATTAGAACCTATTCACTGCACCTTCCCATTTGTTACCCTGTCTTCTAATTCTCTCTGCAACCCTATGACAAGGTGTTACTATATTGCTCAGTTTGCTATATTGCTCAGTTTCACGCAGTCCTGGTAAAGCTCCCTGGATTCAGGCCGTCTGCTTCTCAATTCATCCTCTTCCCACTCTGTCATATATATATTTTTTAATTGATTTCAGAGAGGAAGGGAGAGAGAGAGATAGAACATTAATGATGAGAGAGAATCATTGATTGGCTGCCTCCTGCACGCCCCCTCCAGGATGGTGGTGGTGGGGATCGAGCCGCCAACCGGAGCATGTGCCCTTGGCCGGAATCGAACCTGGGACCCTTCAGTCCGCAGGCCACTGAGCCAAACCGGCTAGGGCTAAAGCAAATTGCCATGAAACAAATGTTCAAAGGAATAATTACTAAATTGTCAAAGTTACTTAAATATTTACGGGTAAACAATACATGCACGAGGAAAGAAATGCAAACAACCAGAGGACATAGCAAAACAAGTACAAAATTCAGAGTTAAGATTTGCTGCACACCTATTCCTACGAGGAATGGCCTCCAGCTCCAGCCCACCCCTGAGGTCGCATCCAGCCCATGTTTCCTAGTCATCCTTCGCCTTCAAAATACACCCCCATCTCCCAATTGGCTGCTGCCAAGAGCCAGACAATGGGAGAAAAGTGGGTTTTCTATCTGGACTGTGTAGTTACTTTCGTACGCCTCCCCCTTCCCTTTGCGTGGCCCAGATTAATGAAGAACTAGGATTTCTCGGTCTCCCACTCCCAGGCTCCAGTCCCACAGCTCCCAGCTCCCAGCTCCCAGCCCCCAGCCCCGCC